ACAGGGGAGAAACCTTTGATCTGTTCTGAATGTAAGAAAACATTTCGTTGCATTAAAAAGCTGAAAGAGACACATGATGAGTCACACATCAGAGAAACCTTTCAGCTGCTCAGAGTGTGGTAAATGTTTCACTGCAAGTGGAAGTCTAAAGACTCACATGAGATGTCACACAGGGGAGAAACCTTTCAGCTGCTCGGAGTGTGGTAAATATTTCACTCAAAAATCAAATATGAAGAAACACATGCAATATCACACAGGGGAGAAACCTTTCAGCTGTTCACAGTGTGGTAAATGTTTCACTCTAAGTGGACATCTGAAGACACACATGAGATGTCACACAGGGGAGAAACCTTTCAGCTGCTCGGAGTGTGGTAACTCTTTCGCTCAAAACGAACATCTGAAGCTACATATGAGGTGTCACACAGGGGAGAAACCTTTCAGCTGCTCACAGTGTGGTAAATGTTTCACTGCAAGTGGAAGTCTAAAGACTCACATGAGATGTCACACAGGGGAGAAACCTTTCAGCTGCTCGGAGTGTGGTAAATATTTCACTGCAAGCGGAAATCTGAAGACTCACATGAGATGTCACACAGGGGAGAAACCTTTCAGCTGTTCGGAGTGTGGTAACTGTTTCGCTCAAAACGAACACCTGAAGCTACATATGAGGTGTCACACAGGGGAGAAACCTTTCAGCTGCTCACAGTGTGGTAAATGTTTCACTGCAAGTGGAAGTCTAAAGACTCACATGAGATGTCACACAGGGGAGAAACCTTTCAGCTGCTCGGAGTGTGGTAAATATTTCACTGCAAGCGGAAATCTGAAGACTCACATGAGATGTCACACAGGGGAGAAACCTTTCAGCTGCACAGAGTGTGGTAACTGTTTCACTGCAAGGGGAAATCTAAAGACTCACATGAGATGTCACACAGGGGAGAAACCTTTCAGCTGCTCGGAGTGTGGTAACTGTTTCGCTCAAAAAGGAAATCTGAAGAAACACATGAGATGTCACACAGGGGAGAAACCTTTCAGCTGCTCACAGTGTGGTAAACGTTTCACTGCAAGCGGAAGTCTAAAGAATCACATGAGATGTCACACAGGGGAGAAACCTTTCAGCTGCTCACAGTGTGGTAACTGTTTCGCTCAAAACGAACACCTGAAGATACATATGAGGTGTCACACAGGGGAGAAACCTTTCAGCTGCTCACAGTGTGGTAAATGTTTCACTGCAAGCGGAAGTCTAAAGACTCACATGAGATGTCACACAGGGGAGAAACCTTTCAGCTGCTCACAGTGTGGTAAACGTTTCCCTGCAAGCGGAAGTCTAAAGACTCACATGAGATGTCACACAGGGGAGAAACCTTTCAGCTGCTCACAGTGTGGTAAATGTTTCACTGCAAGCGGAAGTCTAAAGACTCACATGAGATGTCACACAGGGGAGAAACCTTTCAGCTGCTCACAGTGTGGTAAACGTTTCCCTGCAAGCGGACGTCTGAAGACTCACATGAGATGTCACACAGGGGAGAAACCTTTCAGCTGCACAGAGTGTGGTAAATGTTTCACTCTAAATGAAAATCTGAAGGTACACATGAGATGTCACACAGGGGAGAAACCTTTCAGCTGCACAGAGTGTGGTAAATGTTTCACTCGAAGTGATAATCTGAAGGTACACATGAGATGTCACACAGGGCAGAAACCTTTCAGCTGCACAGAGTGTGGTAAATTTTTCACTCTAAGTGATAATCTGAAGGTACACATGAGATGTCACACAGGGGAGAAACCTTTCAGCTGTGCAGAGTGTGGTAAATCTTTCAGACATGGTGGAACACTGAGGAAGCATCAATGTCGAACTGTAAAAGTCCACATGCAAACTCACACAGATGAGAATCCTCTTTAGCCCCTTTACCCAATCAGCACCCTCTCTTGGTTACATCATTGTTGCCCATGTGAGTTTTGACATGGAAACTCATCCACGGAGGCTCTCGCCTCCCTGGCTGATGGAGCTCAACCTCCTGCAAAGGTTCAGGTTTCTCCTCCCCGAGAAGTGGTATTGCTTTTCACTAGAGCCAGTCTGTGAAGCCTGAGGTTGTCACACAAGCTGCATATCTCTTTGAGTGGTGCGCCCATAGACCGGCTGCTCCAAATACATCTTACACTTTTTTTCTAGTCAAACCAAATACCTCATGTCTAGTAGGGCTACAACAACGGAGCGATGAAACTAATTTCATTATCGATTTGTTGATTATTTCGTCCCTCAATGAGTTAATGTTAAAGTACGGACTTGTAGAAAAATACCAGAAGGCCTTTAATGTTTTTATGCCTTAAGATCTTTTTTTTGAATATTGTTTAAACGTTTTTTTTAGGGAATTTGTTGTTAGGATTTAGGTTGGATGTTCTTATCACAATGAAGGTAGAAATGCTGCATGATATAACAATAAAGCAACTGATCACAAACCACTACTTATTTCCAGGGACGTGATTCTGACCTGGTGAAGTGAATGTTACAGGTGGTCTGGGTTGTGGGACGAGTCAGATGGTTAACTTTTGGTCAGGTGAGCATTACATTTGAAGTGTTGGATCAGGGGACTTCATTATAGAAGTGTGTGCAATATTTATTAAAGAAAACAAAAGGTACAGTAAATTCAAACGACAAAATAATTGGAAGTTTTAGCTATAATTAATGCAATAATCTATAAAAAGACAAATTGGAAGTAATTTTGATCACTAGAGAGGGAACATTATTTGGGGTGGTGATGTTAATGCACATAGCACTTTATGGGGGCAGATTTGGAACATGATTTGGAAGATGTCTGGCCGGAGGAAAGGAACATATCCAGTTGTGAAAGATGGAGAAAGAGATGTAGCAGGGAGCAAAGAGAAAGCAGAGCTAACAGCAGAGACACTGGCCGTGGTTCACAGCTGTGGCAATCTGTCCAAGGAGGAGAGATTGCAAAGGGAACACACTACACAAGAAAGCAAAGAAGCACTGCAGGAAGAAGAAAGCAATCATACTCTGGATGTGTTATTCTCATTAACCAAATTAACAGGTCACTCAGGAGAACACCAGCTCCAGGAAATGACCAAATTCATTGTTGCATGATAAAATCTCTTAATAAGAAAAGTAAAGACATTTTGTTAGCCTTGTGTAACACAGCGTGGGAAAAGAAATACCTTCCCTCAGTGGAAAGGAGCTGTGGTTGTTTCTATATGCAAACCAAACAAAGATGGGCCTATAGCCCTGACATCACTATTAAATGGAAAAGGGGAAGAAATATAGAATACATTGTTAAAAAATGCGAGAGGAAATTAGGAAAATAGATTTTGGAATGGGGATTCAGGTTACCTGTGACAAAGTATCTTTTAATTGGGAGACAAAACAAGATCTGGAGTCAATTCAACCGTAAGGGGAAATAATAAAAAAGGATTATTTCGCATTTGCATCAGGAATCAGGAATCAGGCTATGGGTTAGTATAAAACAAGGGAATAAAGTTAAAAAAAATTAAATATTAAAAAGTTAAAAAGAAAAATATTAAGCATAAAGTGCACTAACGAACAAGTAACAGACAAGAGACAAAGTGACAAGTGACAAAGTGATGAATTACAGTTAAAGTGGCACGTGCAGTATGAGGGGGAGTGACCGGTGGAGTGTTATAGTCAGTCAGTGGGGGACCGGCTCTGTTGATGAGCCCGACTGCCGACGGGAAGAACCTTAAAAGGACTCTGGTTCAAAGAAAAGCTAACGACACATGATGAAGGTTATTGAAAAATACAAAGTACTCAACCTTGGCAGGTGTTTGAGCAGACAGGAAGTCTCCAAAAACAATTTACACTGGACTCATCAGGGCCACTGTAGACTATGGAAGTATAGAACATCAAAGAGGAGAATAACATGATTGTAAATTATAGTATTGCTGACGTAAAATACGATAATGAAAAACGTTTTTCCCAGTGTAACAACAAGTACAAAGTGCAACAACAAGTACAAACCGTAATGTTCTTCCTGCTGTTAGTCGGTTGTTCTTCTGGCCTACAGGCCGACAGAACTGCAAACGCAGCGCTGATACTTGACCTGTGATCTGACAGATGAATCTACCAGAACGAGAGAAGTCGTTTGGCTGGATTTTTCCAGATGTCCTCAACTGGGCTTTGTTGTTGAATATTTCTGTTACTAGTTCGGGAGAAGAGAATGATTTGTTTCAATGTTTGTCTGATAAAAACAGAGTCTTGATGAATGATCAAAGTTGTAAAAGTCCATTTATTGCTTAGAAGCAGGAGGTCAAATGCACCAGCACGTATTACAGTGCTCTGTGGAGATGGCGTCTCCGAGCATTCAAAACGCTGAGGTTCAGATGAGGTAACAGACAGTTCCTTTGTTCCAGCCTTTGTGTTCTAACATATTTTACCATTACTGCTTCCAATTGTGATCACGTTGGTTTGTTCTTCTTTCAAAAAGAAGTAGAGAGAAGGACAGATGAAGGAATGGAAGTATAATTAAATCCGAAAGAAAGTTGGAGAAATGAGAGAAACTAGCAGAAGGGAAAAAGAGGAGGACGTCATCACTACAATGAGGTTTAGACACACAGGTCTGAGAAACACACAAAGAACACTGAGGAAACACCCGACAGGTACCTGCAGTGAACAGGAAACAATAGAACACGTCATCATCCATTGTCCACAACACAATCATTACAGGAAAAGACTCAGAGACGTCTAGAGAAAGTAAAGGTTAGGTTTGAACTCACACAACTTCATTCACAACATATACTTTATAGGGGCTTCTTTAAATAACAAGCAAAGACAACACTGATACATAAAACATACAGAAACAGGAGCACCGTCATTTCAGTCCACACTCCTTTTAAGAAGGTGGCGCTAATGCGCAGCAGGACGCTGCTCTCCAACCGCCAATAAAAGACAGAAGAAGAAGAAGGACCCGGATGTCGGTCTCAGAGCAACATGGCGCCGATCGGCCGCAGCGTCGTGTTGATCAAGTATCAGTTGTCTCCATCAGTCCGGATCCGGATCCAACAGAGTCTCTTTACGTCCGGATGAACCTCTGATGGACTTTCAGCCGCTCACCTTTTTTTCTGGATCTTGTTCCTCTGACTCATCATCAAGCTATTGAGGTTAGCTTAGCACGCTAGCTGGAAGTTAGCAGCACGGTGCTAGTCCGAGTTTAACGGAGAACCAACGGTGTTTATCTGGAGGACACGTGTCTGAGATTCAGTGAAGATGTCCAACGTCCAAATGCTGAGATGTTTACTGAAGCAGCGAATCACCGAGGACGCCGAAGAGACATTTGGGCTGTTTGAAAGAACGATAGCAGAGTACGAGGAGGAAGCTTCTAGATTAAAAGAGGACAACGAGGGACTAAAGAAACGTCTGCGAGCTGTTTTCAATCCAGAAGTCCGCGTTCAAAGAGCAGGTTGGTTCTCTCTCACTCTCCTCACTGACATCAGAAAGTGATTATTACTTTAAAGCGTCTGCACAT